AATCATAGAATAGCAGAGGTGGAAGGGGCCATGAAGGCCATCAGGTCCAACCTGCTGCTATTGCAGGACACCAACTTACCCCATGGAATGGAATGGGTGGGGCCAAATGAAAATGGCTTGTGTCAAAATACCCAGAATCACAGCATAAGTAAACTTAAGGCTCTTGCTGCCAGCAACTAAGTCTTAGGGGAGGCATTTTAAAAATATTTTAGAAAAGGGAGGGGGAAAACTACTGCAATATAAGCCAGGCGGTCACCAAACAACTGGTGGTCAGGTAAAAGGGTCCAACTTTTCAGGAAACTGACTCCAAGCAAGCATGTTGGGGGCCGCATGCTGGCAGTGGGCAGGTCCATCCCCACAGCTGGAGCGCATCCCCTAATGTGCTTTTCTGCCTGGACCACTTTCTTCTCCAGGAAAACAAGCCAAGATTTGTAAACATACTTCAAACCTGGACTCAGATTCTGACTTGTTAAGGGAATGATAAGCCAAGATTCCTGGTTTAGGCAAGACTATGCTTTTTCTACCTGATGAGATTCTGGTTACTACCCCTTCATGGGGGAGGAACCAAGCAGGAACAATTGGGCAGCATGAACTAGTACATTGCTCCTGAACAATTTTTGAATTATTTGGAATCTTGGCTTCATGTTTGTATAAACTCACCCAGAGTATATACAATGCTTGTTAAAGTGGTAGTTTTCAAACTGTGTTCTGGGAGACATGGGAATTCCTAAAAACTTACCACTTCCTCATCAAGGTTTGTAACAGCTGCCAAACTTCCCAGAAGACCACATAACATTTTATACATGGTAACAGGGACACATTGGGCATGCTCTTGGTTGCATTCCTAATTCATGCCTGGTGAAAATAAAGCTGAATTTTCTGGGCTAGAAAGGACTGCTCTATGTGGATTGGGCCAGAGAAACATCAGCAACATGCAGAGCTGATGAACTTACAAGCAGCACATTTCCTGTGGGCAGAACGTTTGAATCTACTGTTCTAAAGCATTCCATACATGTTAAGGATTATTGTTATTTCTCAAGATGGACAAAACATCAGATGAGATTTTCCTCCCTGCTTCTTCCAGTGCAGAAGCAGATCACACTTTTGTTATGTCCCCCATGGAACATGTCATAATCACAGCTCAGATACACAGGAAATCATGTGAGCAAGTGCAGATGAAATGAATGACTCAGATCCAGAATCTGCCTTCCCCAGAAGGAAGGGGTTTTCATGTGGAAGATCAATCTGCCTGATTTTGGGGGAATCCACCCACCTCATCCCTCACCGCATCCATCAAGCAGGCCTCCTGACTCTGGGTAGCATTTTCAGGGGGCTGCCTTGGAAAGGAGTGGTGCGGGAGAGTTTATTTTGGGCAGCATAGCTGATCCAGTATAAACCTGGATTCAACCCCCATATATTAATTTTTGTAACAGAACTCTTAAAGCGTGAAGACCAGGGTGGTTGATTACTTTGATTTCAGGGAAACACCAGGGTGCAGTTCATCCAGCTTCAGGTTGGACAGGAAGTAGCATCGTATATTTAGCTTCTGGGCTAGGAAGTATATTTGCATATTTGAACAAACTGAAGAAGTAGTACTAGCTGTGAAACGTTTTCTCCTTTGATCACAGGTATCAAGTTAGTCTGTGTATATAACTGTGCAGGAGATGTGAGTATAATAATGCCATGCCAGCTGGGGATGATAGGAGTTGTCCAAGACATTTGGAGGATACCAGGTTGAGAAAGGCTGGTGCATAAACTCTCATTAATTAGTCACTAAAGTTGGGGTACTTTAGTTTTATTGCTGTGATGTATTGTACATGGGATTGCCTCCAAGACAATCTGGAAACTTCAACTAGTGCAAAATACAGCCCTGAGATTTCTAAGTGCTATCAGGTGTTATGCATTATACACTTTTTTCATGTCCACTGAGTGGCTTCCAATTCATTTCCAAACCTAATGCGAAGTGTTGATTTTGACCCATGAAGCTTTACCTGGCTTGAGACTGGAAGGAACATCTCCTCCCTTACCTACCTACCCGTGCCTCAGGTGTATCCCTTTCTCTAAGCATCCCCTCATTCCAAGGCTTGGAGAGTGCCAACAGAAGAGGGGGCTTTTTCAGTTGTGGCCCTCCACACTCTGGAGTACTTTCCCAAGAGCAGATTGCTTGGAATCCAAATTGCTATCTTAAACGTATTTGGAGTTTTCAGCATCCTCTTAATTACACAAATCATCCAAAAGAGATTTGCCTATGGGCATAAGCCCCAATGTCATAAGTAACTTTTTGAAAGCTTTATTTCCTGGTTTTAGAACAAAAGAACTACAAACGTGTCTTATTAATATTTGCAGCACAGTAGAAACGTTGGCTGTAGTGGTTGGCAAGAGATTTGACTCACTGCAGCCTGAACTAAAAAGACTTGCAGGAGTAGCCTGGCAAAATGGATTTACTTTAGATTATGTGTTAGCAGTGAATGAGGTGAGATATGTACAGCCATCAATCAAACAAGTTATTTATTGATGTTATGTACTGTCAAGTCATCACTTGCTGATGACCCTGCAGTCTGGAATAGTTCTATTGTGCTTTATTCCTTCCAAGTGCTTTCAGAGCCACTTTCACTTTGCTTTCAAATTTTGCAGATCCTTCTGCAAAGGATTCCTCTTTGAAGGAGTCCATCATCCTTTTATCCCTTCTATATAGTTCTTCCACATATTATTTCTACCTTCTCTTTATTTTATCCTGGTCAGATATATGCTGCCCTCTTGGTCTTCTAGAATTCCTAGTCTACTTTTTAATTCCCCTTTGGTTTCTTGAATATTCTGAAAGAGGTCTCTTTTAGTGTTCTTTCTGTTTTTTTGCACTGCCCATTGTATTAGTTCTCTTTGTCAAGAGTTCAGAAGAGGCAAGATGGGGTGGAGAAACTTCAGAAACTCCTGAAGAGTTTCCCTACCCCCATCACCACTGGAAATATTTTGCCTCTTCTGATGATGTTAGTGTTACTCCTGAAAAGGGTGGATGCATCTTAGTCTGATGACTCCACTTTGACTGTTCTACATTGGGTGACCTTACTAAGAGACCAGCCTAGTGAGACAGCCTGGCCTCCTGGTGGCATTGCTCTCAGCTCTTCAGACACTCTCAGCCCCCCCTTAACTCATTCAGGTGTGTATCCAAGAGGGGAAAACATGATATACTTTTGTAGATGAAGACAAACAATTGAAAAAAATCTAAGAAAGTTCAACACTGTGAATACACAAAACACAAGTTGAGATCTATGGTCATAGATTAGCAGATCTTTAAGACTGCAAAGAACTCAAATATCGACAAGAATTGTTATTGTCATGCTCATTTTTGTGTTGATTCGTTCTTGCCATTTAGGTATAAATTGTTGTTTGTTATAACTGAGCAAATGCTTGAGCTAGTAGTATAAGCAAATCTGAGGAAAATGCTGTGCAAATAGTGCAAATAATTACTAAACAGCTTTAAAAGGTAACTTATTAGGAGTATGTAGCATTTGTGCCAAGTAGAGAAGATCAGTGTTCAGAAGTCTCAGAATGTGCTGAGATGCCACAAAATGAGAAGATGTGGAGAGCCACACCTAGAAGGTGAGGCTGTTCACCTCAAAAGGGGAGTATAAAAGGTTAAAAAGAATTCTGAGCTTGCAGAATGCTGTTAGCTACACAAGGCATGGAACAGTAATCTGGCTCAGACTTGAAAGTGTTAGTCCTGAGAAGGCAGGGTTAAAATTAGTCCATGAGGAACTGCTGACCAGAAAGCAAAGAAGAAGTTGATGTTTGCAAAATCACCAGGAATGTCATGAAACACTAGCTGCTGCCCACAAGAAGCCCCTTTTTCTGAAACTTCCTATACTGCAATTAGCACTTCCTTCTCATTTTTCCCTTCAAATGATTGTATCTGATCATATAAAAGCTTGTGCCTTTGCTCTAGGGTTGGTGGTGGGGAGACAGGCTTTCTGAACTGGTCCAGAGCTCTCCCTCCAGCAGTGCTGTAAGTGATCACCTAATTAAGATCTGATGGCTTATATTTGATGAAATGCATGAAAACTTTTCTTCTTTAAAAGAAAACTCTATTTCTTTCCACACAGGCTAAGACTTCCTTATTTTTGTTTTCCCAAGTTTGAAAGCATCTTGTAATACCAGTTTTTCTCATTTATTATTTTAGTTCCTGCAACATAGTTTTAACTTTTATATCTGATGGTCATTTTTAGTTGTGTTGGTATGCTGATTAGTTGTTGCTGATTGTTTTTATTGAGGTTTAATTTCTATTTTGTGTTATGTGATGCTCAATGCCTAGAAAATCACTGATGAGGCATTTAAATAAATAAATAATTGGCACATATACAGAGTTCACTTGAAAATGTTTGTTTTACCTTGCTAACTCAAGGTATTACTTGTGTAAAAGTTGGCAAAACCTGGCCATGTTTTGTGAATGACAGTGAAGGAGACAAGAGATTGGTAGATCAGTATCTGCTAATTTCAAACCCTGTTTGATCAAGAGTTATGCTTTAAAAAGCCCCACATAAAGACTATCGGAAGATTATTTCCACCAAGGCAAAATGTTGTGTATGAAGCAGCCCAGAGGGGCCACACGTTGTTGTTCCTGTTTCTTCTGAACCACCCAAAGAGCCCCCCGGATATGCAGTGGCATAAAAATACAATAAATAACTAAAATGTCAGATATGATGAGGAAAAAATATCTTGTTTCCCAAGGATCTCTGCAACGTTTTTGTGGCGCAGTGATTTAAATTGCTGAGCTGCTGGGCTGGGTGATTGAAAGGTCGACCGTTCGAATCTGCAGACGGGGTGAGCTCCCATACTCTGTCCCAGCTCCTGCCAACCTTGTAGTTCGAAAGCATGCAAATGCAAGTAGATAAAAAGGTACCACTTTGGTGGGAAGGTAAACAGCATGTTCAGTCATGCCAGCCACATGACCATTGAGACTGTCTGCGGACTAACGCTGGCTCCCTCAGCTAGGAAACGGAGATGAGCACCGCCCCCAAGAGTCAGACATGACTGGACTTTAATGTCATGGGAAAACGTTTACCTTTACCTTTTTCTCCTCCAGATATGTAGGACTGCAGTCTCCATCATCCCCAGCTACCAGGCAGGCCTGGGGTGATGGGAGGAGTTGTCCAATACATTTAGGAGGCATTCCATTGGGAAAGATTGCTCTATAGTTTGAAAGATCCCACCATATTTCTTATCGCTCCTTCTTTTAATACTCCTAGAAACTGTCTGCATCCAGTGTCCAGAAAACTGGCTATCATTTCAGAGTAACTGCTACTTCTTTTCTTCAGTAAAAAAATCCTGGCATAGTGCCCAGAGGTCTTGTGAGAATGAAGGGGCTCACCTGGTTATTATTAACAGCTTGGTGGAACAGGTGAGTTTTTTAACTTTGCTTTTGCCACTGTGATTGCGACAAGCAGATGCTCATGAAGACAGTGTTCTGGACTGAGCTTATGAATATCATAAAAGCAGATGCCCTGTTCTTATTGAAATAAAGCACATTGCATCTTCCATCTTATGGATTCAGTTGGTTCATGTAATATTTATCCATAAAAGTATGGCTTTTTAGCCCCACAAGTGGTTGATATGAATGAACAAAACCAAACCAAAGATCATAAATGAAAACTAAAACCCTAAAATGTAAAGAAGCAGAGTTAAAGTCTTCAGTCATACAGTAACAAATGAAAAGTCATGCAGAATAAAAATATTTTCATTGCTTGCCTAAGCATTGCCTGCCTGAGACGAAGCTAGTTTTACCACGTTTGGTTGGGAATTCCATAACCTGGCTGCTAACACAGAAAAAAACCCCATTTATGTCACATTCTATGGAATTCAAATAATAATTCTAACTTTGTTCTAATACCCCTTCTTGGTTGGTTCTCCTTGAGTTCTCCACCATAAATCCAAATTATTAATTGCTGGGGAGAAGGGAAACCGCATATTTTCCCTTTTATATAGATGAGACTTCCATTGGACACAACCTTTTCTCTTTCCCCACCTAGAACACTTTAGTAAAACAACTGGCCAATGAGCAGGTGGTTTGGATTGGGCTGAGTGACAGTACCACAGAAGGGTCGTGGCGCTGGCTGGATGGCACTGCCTTGTCTCTATCGTAAGTACTTTCATATTATGTTGCTTTAATGTATTAATTAGCAACCCTTCAAGAATGTGACTTTTAAGCAGAAATTTCTCTCTTTGAACAAGATCCATGCCTAACCAAGTGCCATATAAGGACCATTTCATGCATGTACGTTTTCCTGTCTCAGGAATAACCACTAGACCTTGTTCAAATGGGTTCAAAATCTTGTAGGGTCCATTTATATGGGACAGGTAGCTTGTTTAGGCTTTGCTCGTTTGGACAAATTTAAGACCTCCCTGGGAGAGGAGGTCCCAGTGATACTCCGAAGGCCCTAAAAGGATGACATTTCCTAGTTCTCAGGGCTGCAGCACCTCCACAGCAGGCATGCATTAAAATCACCCAGTGACCAAAGGTCACGCTATAATCAACCAGTTGGTTCCACTATCCATTGATGCATGCTGACAGTTAAATGCTTCTCGGGACTTAGGCTAGGGTGAGCAACTTGTGGCTCTCCAGATATTTTGGATCCCTCGCCATTGGCTATGCTGGCTAAAGCTGATGAGCGTTGTAGGCCAAAACCTCAGGAGAGATATACCTTGTCTACCTCTGGTTATGCTGTCAAAATCAACTGAATGAGAGGTGCCCAAATCAAATTAATGAGAGGGACCACACACATTTAGCACATAGATGTTGTCACCCATTTACTGAGAATTAACAGTTTTGTCTGTATCAGCCCATCTGTTCTACCTCAAAAACATAGTAAAATATCTGGAGGGCCACGTGGTGCTCATCCTTGTTATATATGGTTTGCAACATCTGTTCTGCCCATGTTCCACAATACTCTCTCAAATTGCTGTATTTAAGTATATTTCCAATTTCTTCCATCCTTTTGAACCCTTAGGGCTTAAACTGGACAAAGAGTACAAAAGAGTCCCAAATTCCTACGCCAGCTAGCAGTAACATTTGATTGAAGGGTTGTTCCTTTAAATGTGTCCTGCCAGAACAATGCAGGAGATTCTGCAGAGAAGCTGAAACAAACATCGGGGGGTGGGTGCTGTTGTTATTGTTGTTGTTATGTGTCATCAGCAAGTTGTCTCTGGCTTATGGTGACCCCAGGAATGAATGCCCTCCAAAATGTCCTCTTGGAAGTTCAAGGCTGTTTCTTGCTTTATGGAATGCAGCTGTCACAACTTGGTCTTCTTCTCTTCTTTTGCTTCAACTTTCACTAACATGCTTGACTTCTCCAGGGAGTCTTGTCTTAGTTTTGTCATTTTTGCTTCCAAGGAGAGTTCTTGGCTTTGATCTAAGCCCACTTATTCATCTTTCTATTGGTCCAGTATTTACAAAGATCTCTTCTCCAGTACCAAGAAAACATCTACATTCTTCCTGTCAGCTTTCTTCACTGTCCAGCTTTCACACCTATAAATCATGATTGAGAATGCAATAGTGTAGATGATCTAGACCAGAGGTCCTCAAATGTTTTAAACAGGGGGCCAGTTCACTGTTCCTCAGACTGTTGTGGGACCAGACTATAGTTTGAAAAAAATATGAACAGATTCCTATGCACAGTGCACATTAACAATTAATTAAAATTAAAATTAACGGACGTGATGGCAATTGTGCAGGGAAGACGGTTGCGATCATGGTCACGCTCATGTAGGGAAGGGCAGGCACGATTGCGGCCATTTCTCCCCCCTGAGGCGGGCCGGATAAATGAGCATGCCAGGCTGTATCTGGCCCGTGGGCCATAGTTTGAGGACCCATGATCTAGACCTTGGTCTCCAGTGAAACATCCTTATACTTGATTATCTTTTCCAGTTTGTTCACTGCTTTCCTTGCAAGTCTCTTTCACAAGTTTCTTTGTTGTTGGGATTCATTTCCTAATTCTTCTGTAGTCATAATTTTTGTTAATGCTTAGCTGTAATTCTGCATTTGCACTTTCTTCTTTCACTTTTTTCAGGATTTCCTTCAATTCACTTCTGCTTTCTACCAGCAAGATGGTATAAACTCCATATTGATGTATCTTCTGCCAATTTCCACTTCTTCTTTCAATCCTAATCCAGTTTTCTTTAGGATGTGTTTTGCATATGGATTGAACAGACAGGGAGATAAAATACACTCTTACCCACTGCCTTTGCCTATACAAAGCCATTCTGTTTCTCCATATTCTGTGCTAATAGTAGCTTCATGATGCAAGTTATCTATCAAGACAATCAAGTTTCAGAATAAGGGTTTTTACTGCCTACAAAATTTTTTAAAATGCAGCAATCACATAGTCCCTAGGGAGTTGCCATTAAATTAATTTTGTAAGCACTTTTTCCTGTCCACTTCATTGCCTGAAAACTGATATGACTAAAAACAGCAACACATTCTGGTGAAACTTCTACCTAACCTCAGGCTTTTCTTGGGTGCTTTCCAACTACTGGCTCCAATCTTATTTTGTAGAAAGAGTCATCCAATTTTTGCTTTCTTTCTCTATTTGTTTCTCAAAGTCTTAGAGCCCAAATTAAAGACATCAGTACAACCTATTTACCTCAAGGATATCATAGAAATGGTTTCTGTAGTTACTTCCTACACTTGTCTTGTTTTCCTGAAAAAGCTCAACAGACTCAAGGTCTGGCTCTTTACCATATAACTTTAGAAGAGCATGACATTTTATGGAAAAACTGGAACTGACAGGAAATCTTTGGAAGGCCGACCCACATTGAGGCGTTTTGCTACCCCAAGGAAACAGAAATGTTGTCTTTTCTCGTGTGTAATATCATATGTCAAACAGCATAACAGTAGCACATTACAATTACCAGAAGCTACAGTTTCTCCTCTTCATTTTAAAGTCAGAAAAATCTTTATTTCCATCCATAGACAATCAAGTCTATGCCTCCAAAAGTGCAGACAAGGCTGCGGAGAAAGGCTAATGCATTTGGGACTCAGGGAAAAAAAGAGTGTGGGGGCAGATAGATAGATAGATAGATAGATAGATGCTCGTGAACAAACTAGAAGTAGTGGGCAAGAGGCATTTTTGTCTCTCCAGAATTTGTGTACTCCCAGTGACATTGATGAACAGGAGATTACAAAAGAAATTAATACTTCATACCAAGCATAAATAACATATGAAATCTGCTGCAACAAACTGTGGAAATGGTCATGGGTTCAGGCAACTTTAAAAGAGATTGGGCAAATTCAGGAAGGATAATATTATCAATTTCATGTTAGCTAAATGGACTACCGCCAGAGGCAAAGGTGGCAGTTGCTGGGTGGTAAACAGCGAGCAAGGACTCTTCCCATCATTCTGTTTGTGGCTTCCTGGAAAGTGCATATGTCAGCCTTGGCAAAAAAAAGAGGATGCTAAAACTAGAGGGATGCTTAGGTTAAAGTGCTGTAGAATACACCAGGGTGGGTGAAACTCTTTCAGCCAGAGGATTCATTTCAGTTTTGGACATGTTCTTCAGCACTACATCACAGGACTAGGAAGGGCAAAACACAAAAAGTACACCAAATGCCAGCATATTTACCTTCAAGCTTGTACTGCCAGTGGTTAAGCTTTTGGAGAAGCTTTTTAATCTTTTAGAAAAGGGAAAAAGTGCAAAAGCTGGGCAACCACCAGAGAGTCAGCAGTTGAGAGACAAGGGACGGACCAGCAAAAGAGGGGTGTGCCTATTTGGGGATCCCCAGAAGGCCAGATTGGGACCTTCAACTGAGCCAGAATTGGCCTGCAGGCCTAAGATTTAATAGTCATGCTACAGACACTTGCTTGTCAGAGGCTTTGTTCCACTGGATTCAGTGGCACCAGTTCTGAATACGCCCTAGTGGATCTTGTCATGACCGACTTGAATAGAAAGCATTTAGGGAAACGAGCAGCCAAGAAGAGCTGGTCTCTCACTAGAGCTTATGGAATGGCCTGGCTTCTCATTTTTTTCCTTCTGCTGAAACCTAATGGAATGATAATGATTGAATTTAGACATGAAAACTCACACTCAAGGGTTGAGTGTGTATTGTCATTGAACCATGGCTGGTTATTGTATGAACCCAGCTGAAATAACAAACTGTGGTAAACATTCCACAGTTCACAAAAGCAACAGACCATGGGTTCTTCATATAGATTGATTGTGATTAACAGCCCGTGCCTTATTAGTGCAGGTGAGCCTGGGCAACACAATAACCTGTGTTTCAACAACCACCCATGCTATAACAATTACCCACACTAAGCCCTCAAGTGTGGGTTAATCAAGCTGTCTGAACCCTCTGAATCAGACCCTTAGTTGGTCTAGCCCAGCACTGCCTGTGGTTCTCCAGGGTTCCAGGCATGGTTCTTTTCTGGCCCTGTCCAGACAGACCCAGAACTGAGCCTGGGGCCTTTGATGGGCAGAGTGACCAAATGTCACTGAGCTACCACAGTCCTTCTCCATTCTCAGTGGACTTCTACCTTGGAAAACTTCAGGGGCAACACTTGGGGGTTTCCAGTGCAAAACACAGGTTATGAGTTTTCAAAATCTGAGTTCCTCTTCCCAAAACCCAAGTTACTAATGATACCAAAATCAGATTTAAAAAAACCCACCCAGACCAAGTTTGGTTTCCCTGAGTGGCCATGATCAGAGAAGGGGGAATGGCCATTAACTGGTTTTTAGAATGCTGTGATTACACTCCAGTTTCCTTTCATGTGTGTCCAACTAACATCCGCCTGTGGGTAATAGCTTCCTCAAGAAAGCCTCTCCTGCAGATCTGAACAACCAGTTCATAACAAGAGACTGCAATGCCCAAAGTCATTTAGGCTTTTAAATGTTACAGCAAAGTTCTTGAATTGAGGCTGGAAAGCAAGTGGCAGCCCGTGAAGTTCTTGCAAGACAGGTGTGATGCGGTCTGAATACTGTGTGACTGTTTTTGAGATAGGTCAATCGGAAATGCACATAGCTTTCCAAATGTGAGTGAACCAAATATTTACTTAATGACTTATGATACCTGCTGTTCTCATTTTCAAATCTATTTTCTGTTGATTCCTGCTGCTAAACATGACATTTTCACTGCCACTATCAGCT